AGGCATGTACCATCGTAACCAACTATTGGGGTTTCTTGGATCTTCTAAGATTGAAACCAAGGCAAACATATGCTTTCTTTCCATTTCCTACTCAACTTTATATTGGAAGTCCTAGGTAGTTAGTTCAACAAGGGAAACTTTTTTTTTAAAAAAAGGCAAACATATAAGAAAGGAAGAAATAAAACTGTCTTTACTCATGGATGACATAATTTCTAATTGTCTATATAAAAAATAACAATGCATCTAAAATTAATTCCTGGACTGTAAAGGAGAGTTTAGCAAAGTCTATGGGTAAAAGATCAATATAGAAGTCAATTGTATTCCTTATATATTGGAATAAACTTTTTTTTTTTGCTGTCCTGAGAATTAAATTTATAAGCACTCTACCATTCGAGCAATGTTCCTGTCGTTTTGTTTTCAGTTTGTTTTTCAGAGAGGGTCTTGTGCTATCTTTGCCCAGGTTAACCTTGAACCATGATCCTCCTACCTTTGCCTATCTAGTAGCTGTGACCACAGGCATATTCCACCATACTGCTTGTTTTTGTGATAGGATCTTCTGACATTTTTCCTTGGCTGGCTTCAAACCACAACCCTCCTGTCTCTGCTTCCTCAGTAGCTAGGATAGCAGTCATGCACCACCATGCCTAGCATCAATTCAATTTTGAAATGAAAAACACCACTACTTAAAACAGTACCATAATCAATAAGACACTTAGTGTGCAGAATTTATAGGTGGAAAACACAAGACACCAGTGGAAGAAAAAAACAAGACTGAAATAACTGGAAAAGTATAGCATGTTCATAGGTTGGGAGCCTTGATATTGTTAAGAGGTCAATTTCCCCTAATTTATACATTCCTCACAGTTCCATTCAATGGAATCAGCAAGGTTTAAAAAAAAAATCAAAAGCTGATTCTAAAATGTAAATGTAAAAACAAACAAACAGAAAAACTAGAATAGCCAAAAGAATACAATATGTGGAGACTCACATTATTTAATTTCAAGATTTAGTATAAAGATACATGATCAAGACTGTGATATTGGTGAAAGAGCGGTATCAGTGGAGTAGAACACAGAGTCAAGAAATAAATCCATACAAATACAGTCAACTAATTTTTTGATTGCTGTGTGTGAATGTTTGTTTCTCCCAAAATTTAATGGTCTTACTTGGCTGAGTAGTCTCATTCTCAGGTCTGTCAGGTGATTTATGCTGACTCTCCTGGAGCTTTTAAACTCACCCCTTACCTCCTGTAATCCCTCACCCAGATAGAGACATCTGCACTGCAGTAGCTGCTTATGGAGAATCCAACTTTCACTTTAAGCTTGCTCCCAAAAAAAAAAAAAATCTCATTATTTCTCCAGTTGGGCCTATTAAACAGGATCCAAGAGACTCTCACCTTGTTGCTTGCTCACTCTCTCTTGTTTTCTATACAGTATAGTCCTGATTTGATGGAAGGCAAATGCATATCTCTGCTCAAAAAATTCTGGGACTGCTGTTGTAAATCTTAGCGCAGCAACACTCTCCAGTGTGAAAGACATCTGTAGGCGCTCTTCTAGATCTTCAGTTACCTAGGTTAGGGCCAGACCCTAATCTACCACGCTAGGAAATATTTAGGCACCAGTCTTCCAGGTTCCTTGAACAAAAGGAACATATTTCAAAACTCCCCAGGAGGGCTGCCTTGAAGCTTCTCTCATTGGGCACGTAGCTAGTGAGTAGTACAACCCTTTTGACCTAAAGCATAGGAATGACTCCTTCCAAAGAAAACACTACTAACCCCTTCAAATTCTCCCTCCTTACCTTTGTTATATCTTTAATTTTGCTGAGCAGTCTATGGGCCAAGGAATAGTTCCCACCTCTTTTCCCATAAAAAAATCTTTATATGTGACACAGATTGTCTCACACTGACTCTGAAATGCCGATCACCTACTGGACCCACAGTCCAAAATAAGGCAGGCTGTTACTAGTACAAACCCTCCAGAAAGACTACAAAAAAAAAGACAGAAGTGCCCAATTTTGGACAGGATGATGGGGCAATTAAAACTTTCATAATTCCTGCAGTCCATGAAGGCAGAAAATATGGATATCCTATGAACTAGAAATTCTACTTCCACATTTACACTAAAAATAAATGTAATTGTATTCACCAAATTGGGAAGGGATGGAAAAATCCACAATAAAATGGATAAATAAATAAATTGTGGCACATTTATGGAATGGCATGCTCTACACAAACAAGAATGAACAACTGAACTGCACACAATAATACAGATGAGTCTGATGATGTAATATGGAACTTTAAAAGTCAGACACAAAAATTAATTCTGAATAATTCTACTTATATAAAGTTTTAAAATAAGCTAAACTATCCCATTTACTTCAAGTTTTCTTTAGAATATTATACACTTGGCACCTGTCTTCTTCAACTCTGGGCCCTCATGATAATTCAGATTAGTGAAAGAATATATTGTCATGGAAAAAAATGACATAAAATCAAGCATTGGTTGGAAATAGTCTTACCTTTGATATACCAAAAGCAGTTACATTTATATCTTAAATTGACTTGTTTTGGGGGTTTTTTTGTTTTGTTTTGTTTTGAGACATGGTCTTGCTATGTAGCCCAGGCTGGCCTCAAACTAACAGTTCTCCTGCTTTGGCCTCCTGAGTGATAGGATTATAGGCATGAAGCACTCACCCACTGCATTTTGCTGTTACTACTGAAGGACAGGCAAAGTTGTTTCCTATTATTAATTGTTTAAATTATGCAATTGTCACTGTCTGCCACAAGAGGGAAGAAATTTCAAGGACTGGAGTTAGCAATGTGAAATGAAGAAAGCTATATTAAACAGAAAAGCAATGTAAATCATTGAGCTTATGAACCAGATTTTGACTGCAACAAAACAGAGCTTAAAATTATTATCCTAAGAGTTTTAATTTATAATTTTAGTATTTGGAAAAATAGATATTTCTTAGGTGAGAAATTTCATTTGTTTTTGTTTTTCTCCAGACAAATCATGTACAGATTTACATAAAATATGTGCATTCTCCTTTAACATAGAAATTCTGTATAAAATTATTTACCATATAATAGTAATCATATATATGTGTGTGTGTGCAATATATATATATATATATTATTTTCATAAATGTCATGCTTTCATAAATGTCATATTTTTGATTTTTCACTTTATTAAACCTTCTGAACTGAATGTGCCTGAAATTATTGAGTCCTTTTTATCCATGAAGAGACTGAGGCTTAGAAGTAACTAAGAAGAAAAGGAAGAACTTCACTTAACACTTTCTATTATTTTGCACCATCATCTATTAACCTAACAAAAATAACAATGACAATGCTTAATTAATTTATATATGAATTTGGAATATTATTTTCATAGAGTTCTGCTGTAAAAGATGTTAGTTTCATCCTTGTCCACAAAACTTTTACCATAGACACCTCGCTAACAATGCTCTCTATTGAACTACTGATTTAAGAATTAACTATTGCTATCATCTGACATGAAAGTGAAGTTTAAAGTGAAGCAAACAGTATTCCCAGAAGTTCATGACTAGATGGAAGGAGAAACCGTAAATAGATAAAAGAAGGCTTAAAGTTACCTCAAATACCGCTGCATGAAGTTGTAAACATTTCTACAGCCATTCAGTGTTGAATGCTCCCAGAGATAAATTTCTTAGCAGTGTTTGCTAGACTGAATGCTTAATCGCCAGTAAGTAGCATACCTAATCTCACAGCTATTTAATTGGGCTGACAATATGACACCTAAAAATGTATCAGATTAGAGAGAATTATGACCTGAGTAATAGAACACATAACAGCCACAAAAAGTAGTATGCAAAGAAACAAAGTTATATCTTAAAAGTGTTTAAAATTAATGTAAATCATAGAGAAGTCAGAGACTTATTTCCTTGGATAAAAAAGACCCTATTCAACTGAAAAAATTGAAACTATTTTTAATTTTTTAAATTCTCTATCTTAACAAGAGCCCAATTTCTCTACTCTCAGACATCTAAGATATTAAATAACTCCTCTGTTCAGGCATTTGCACTTCAACAGGTACTGCTGAAAAGGCAGAAGCTAGAAACAGTTGCATTACTGCTTTCCTAGGTTTCCTTCCTTCCTTCTTTCCTTCCTTCCTTCCTTCATTCATTTATTTTATCAGTACTGATTGGGTATGTGACTAAGCACAGGAAAAGAGGGGTTGTCAAAAAGTAAGTTACTTATTCCCTCATGGAGCTTGCAATCCAATGGTGAAAATACATGCTAAACAAAAGATGTATTACTGCAAATCATGAAGATATAAGGGAAAAGCTTGGGTGCAGTTAGGACCATTGGATGAAAACAGGCTATACAAATTTTATCATCACTCATTAAAAAAGCCTTTGAGTAGGTGACATTCATCCTGAGATTGGAGATGAGAAACAAGGAAAGAGTTCTAAGAGGCAGATGCCATTTCCATTGTCCTGAATAAAGAAGAGTTCTTGGCTTGTTCAAGTAAATGAAAGTTTTAATCTCAGTGACATACTCCAGAAGAAATAAGGTATAAATTATATATTATTATTATTAGAGGGGGATTAAAAAGGTATTACATGACACTCCTCTAAAGAGCATAATCAGACAAGATGCCAGATTGAGAGATTAAATAACTCCACTCTGTGTTTATAAATTGTCAAAAGCATCAGAGAGACAGATGAGACAGAACTTTTCTCTATATCTCACATGGATAAGGATCAAATACATTAAAGCTGAATAATTCACACAGCCATGTGCACACTTATTAATTGTTAGTATAAAGTATGCCTAATTTCACTCCGGCCTTAATTTCCATCTTAAATGTAAGATATTATTCATCTTTGTAAATTTTCTAACTCAGATTCCTAAGACATCTTAAAATAATAAAGTCTTACCTTTGTCTTCAGTGAAACTTTTTCTTATTAACAAAAATTTTTTAAATTATTATCTTATTCAAAGCCTATGTTAAACTTACGTTCTAGTGCATTGTAAAGAAGTTCAAAGTCTTCATTTGTTTTAGGATTATGCCTCCGATAATAGTCCAATTGTATCCATTCTTCTTTTTCTCTGATCTTCCTTCTTTCTTCCTCTGCTTCCCACTCCAACCTCAACTTTTTCTGTCTTCTTAAACTCTCTACGTAGACTTTAGCATGCCATTGTCTATAGTAAGTCTGTATTACTATTGTCTATGATTAAATGGAAAGGAAATAAAAAGCATATCAGCTTGTTGATCAGTCAATAAAGAAAACAATCACTATTTCAATCCCGATTCAACAACAACAAAACAATACTGAGTCTAGCTTTAGTTCTGTGCCAGATATTCTTACACATAAGAAATATAGATGATGTGTGTCACTGCTCTTCGATTTTGAAATCTAGCAAATACACTTCCATAGGAGGCTGTCAGGACTCTGCTTAAAAGCATGGACTCTGGAGTAAAACTTAGTTTGAATCTTCCCTCTGACTAGTTGTCTGATTTGGGTTAATTTACCTCCATCTTTGTACTTTAGCCTCCTTCTCTGTACAAATAGTGACAATAATAGTATGCATAGAAAGTGCTCCATTGAAGCCTGGTGCAAGTCAATAATTATTGCAAGTGTTCAGACTCTTAGTTATCTCCAATTTATATTAATTGCCACTAGCTTAAGCAGATTTTGAAATAAAATCACATTTCTTAAACACATAGTAGGTAGGTATGTGTGAAGACCACCAAAGGCAGGTTAGATAAAAGGAAAACTTAAGCATTCAAATACATGAAATACAAACATAGTTGCCAGCATATCATAATAGTAGACCCTCAAAAACTCTATGATATAGCTAAAAGGTTGAAATTTTTATTTTACCAAACTCATACATAAAATATAGACAGGTTGCAAGGAAACTGAGGACAGAACATATGCTGACATATTCCTTTCCCTCATCCTAACACCAGAGAGTTACAGAAAAAAAAATATGTAAAACAGAAATTGATAAAGACACTGGATCACACTGAAAGGACCCCTAAAGCATTAGAAACTTTGAAAAATCCCTTCAAGAAAAGAAGCAAATGGACTAAGTTGCAGAAAGAGGAATCTGTAACCTAATCCTGTACTGGAGAGGCAAGCAAGAAAACAGACATACCTCTAGGATTGCTGCAAGCCCAAAAAGGGGGATGATCTAAGCAGGCAGGAAACTAACCAGGTAACAGCTTGAAAAATGCCAAAGGGGCATCAGAAGTGTTTGTCCTGAGGCAAGAGTGTTAGTGGGACATCAGGATGAATAGAAGCTCACTATCCAGAAAACTAGCTCCTTCCCAGAATCAAGCCTACCCTAAAGCCACAGGGATTAGACAGGTAAACAATGCTGTTTGCACATCCCATACCAAGAATCTCAAATTTTCTGTGAGGACTCACCCAAGAATAACCAAACACTTGAGAAGAGTCATCAAAATAAAAGGTCCCTTACCTAATAAAAGTAACTTCTACTTCTTTGGAATAAATAACTAGAATAGTAGGTCTCAAAGAGTAGCATCCAGACCATATGATATCAATATCATCTAGAAAATTACCAGTAATGCAAATTCTCAGTCCCTACTCCAAAGCTACCGAATCAGAAACTCAGGTGGTACTGAGGTTAAAGTTTTAGAATCACTTCACTAAAGTACAACAAAACAAAAAACAAGACAAGACTATATGTGGTTAACATTTTTAGAGCAAAAAGGAAAGGCTATCAGTATAAAACAATCAATATAAAAAACCAACCAAAGACTGTCAACATTTTTCATTTTTCATTTTTTAAATACATAGAGTATGAATTAGCTTGGGTGTTATTAAACTTGTTAAATTTATTAAAGAAACCAAAGAATATAGAAGTTAAAGAACACAGAACACAAAAATCCCCTCACACAAACATAATAATCCAGAGACTAGCAAGCAGTTAGGGCTGGCAGAAGAGTCCCGCCATAGTTGACAAATTTCTCCCTATTTGTATGTCCCGCTTGTCTGATCAACTGTTCATTAGCCTCCAGCCTGTAAAAAGCAATAAAGGAACAAAGAACCCTTTAGGATAAATGCTTGGAAGTGCCTCACATGATAACCCTTCAATCTCCTTGTCTTTATCTTAGTTGTACAGCCTACCTGATTTACACAGGAGGCAATGCCATTATCTGTCCAGGTAAAGCTTTACAACAATGGAAGAAGGGGAAAATGAATAGTTGTAGTTAACTAGTTGTTATAATTGATATGATCTGCAAAATGTACAGAGCCAAAGAAGGAATTATTAAGCAAAAATGTAGGTGGGTAAAATATTTTACAATACAGAAGAAAAGGTCATAAAAATTGGACAGAATGAAGGAAAATGAAGGACATGAAAGATAAATCCAGACTTTCTGAAATATGTTTCATACAAGTTCCAGATGGAATAAAGAAAGTTGAGTACAGAAATTACTCAAAACAAAGCAGAACATTTCCTAAAGTCATACATAAGCTGTTAGATAGAAATGATCCATTACCAAGCCTCAAATGTATCACACTATTATAAAACACCAGAGATAAAGTGAAAACCCTAAAGTTTTCTAGAAAGAAGAAACAAAGCAATGAGGGTCAGATTTATATCCAACTTATAGTCAAATAGAGATTCAAAGTTATAAAGGGAAAATAAGTTTGAATCTAGCTTTCTAAACTCACTCAAACTAAAACCCATGATAAAGTTTATCAATGAGGATTTTGATGGTTCATTTTCTATGCATAATCTGAAAGAATAATTTAGAGAATGTGGTCCAGCAAGAATAATAAGCTCAAGGGGGAAATTAAAGTAGTGAGCAAAAATTCATAAAGCTAAATATATTTTATATATACCAACTGAAACATACAAAAAATGATCTAAAATTGTAATTATATAGTAAATTACATATAATTATAATTCCTGACCAAATGTTCACTGAATAGAAGGAGTGAGGGAGGAAGGGAAGGATATGAAGGAAAGTCTACTAAGGTCCTTTACTTACTCATAGAGAAAAGATCCTGATTATATATGCATTTAGTATGAAAATTAGGTGAATTTAAAAGTTTCATGAGCAAATATTAGTAATATACAGATAAACCACCTACTTCTAAGCTATGAAAGAACCAAAAAATGACAAGTTTAATCAAACCAATAAAAAGAAGGAAAATCTAATAAAAGATAAACAATCAGCAAGAATGATTAATAAATAAAAACAAGATGAGATGGCCAGAATGAGTTCAAAGTATCAGTAGTCACACTACTCCGTTTATAGCTCACTTCTCATTTCCACCTCCCGCAGAACCTCCAACTCACTTTCCAAGATTGTATGGGGCAAATCTCTGTGGATCTCGATGCCATCTTCCACGGCAGAAATTTAGGTTTACACTCTCTCTGCTCTAGTAAGTCAAGTTAACACTTCTCCATCTGCTTTACAACTTCAAAAACATCAGCTGACATTTACTCTTGTCTCATATATTCTTTATCACTGTATGTTTATAATTTTTTATGTCTTTAATATAATTTTATTGGAGTTTGGAAAGTGGTGCAGAGAGTTTTACTTCTCTACCTAATATTCCATCTCCTGTACTTTCTCTTACTAAGTAAATCTCTCAACTATCTTGAGGAACAACGTTCTTCTTTAAAAATGCACTTATCACATGCTCTTGTAGGAATATATGATACAGTTCAGGCCAATAAGATATAAATGGAAGTCATTGGGCAAGGTTTTCAAGGAAAACCTTTGAATGTTGCATGCTCCCTTGACTTTTCCCTTCTTCCTTCTCAGAATGCAAACATGATGCATGTTAGTCAACTGTTTTATCATCATACAGTAACAAGCTCATGATGAAATTAATGAAGTGGAAAGGTACAATTATATCATAGAACCACCATCCAAACCAAGTATAGTAAGAAAGAAAAAATTAGCTTGGACTAAGAAACTGAAAAAAAATCAGTCTGGGATAACTGGCTCTAATCAAGCCAGGCACAAAGTTAACAAGAAACAATATTTCTCCCATAGATTCTCTGAAGCTATAAAATATCATAGCAATCTCTTTTTTGGAAGGATTGCTATTTTCTTATTCACTGAAAAACTTTGCTCTCTAAAATCACAAACTGTCAGAAACTTCACTGTTTGAAATTAGATCAGTGAAAATGAAACATCCCATTCTTGCCTAGAGGATTCAAGTTACTTTGACAGAGAGAAGTAGCCTTGATTTACAATCAAGGTGTCCAACTTCAGAGAGCTTCAGAAAAAGAGACGACATTCTGCAACCTTCTCAACTTTGTTCCCAAAGGAATAGGAGCCTGGTACACTTCACAGTCCAGGACTTGATGTTGGGCCATTTACACACAGCCTGTTGTGCATTGAGACTTCTAAGAGACTACTTCACTTAAATTTCACCTGAGCTTCACTTTTCCCCACAATTCTTTAATAACTCCATCTTTCCACTTGTTTGGTGAAAATTAGTTTAGACTAAAAATGTAAAAATTCATCAAACCAGAATAACTGTCACTGATAAAGCCAGGCTTAAATTTGGTTCCAAGATTATCTTGGTGTGCAGTCTCCTGAATTCAGGGTAAGGAATCAATAGACTTAACATTTTTTGTATTCCAAGCTCATCTCTCAAAGTCTTGGGCAGATTTGGGTACAACAACAGCCTAACTAAATTCCCTGTCGCACTTGAAAGAGAAAACATTTTATTTAAGTCACTATTTTCAGGTCACTTTTACTCATAGCGAAAAGATGCAGTCTATAAGAGATCAAATGAGTTGAAAGTAACAGGATGACAAAGATACTCATGCAAACAATAAAATAAAGAGGTAGAGTGGTTATACTAGTATCAAAGAAAATAGACTTTAATGTCCTGTTTGATTTTGATTAGTCTGGAAAGTTACCTACATTATTCTATTTTGAGAAGGGGAAAGGGCAAACACAACACATGAGTCAGAAAAGAGAAGGGTTAGAGCATTTAGGATTCTGATTTCTTAGGTAGAGTGATATTGGAAGTAAAGACTGTGTTCAATACCAATGAAAGGTCACTCACACTCAACAGGTTCTTTCTCAAGCTAGAACACCTTAGGAAAACACAGACACACAGAGAACAATTTAGTTATATGTTTAATTCTTATCATGTATTCCCAATAAAAGCTATCTTACCGCCTTTAATCTTTGAGCATGGTATTCTTCTGCTGTAAAATATATTCCTGGTTCTATCAGTTTATCAGTCATGTTTGATACATACACACCAATTTTAGTCATTTGTGTGGATGTTGTATTTGAAGTCTGTTGGAATTTTTTCCTCTGTAAAACTGTCTAAAATAAAAATATAAAAAATTAAAATAAGCACTCACTATATGCACAATTCTGTAAGTGAAGAGCATATTCTTTTATTATCCTATTTTCTATATAATTAGTTGGAAGAATCTAATTTGAAAGAGTCATAAGTAAAACAACAATTTTTATTATATAACTTCAAAACCGAAATGGAAAAATTCAAACATTACCTGTGTATCCCTACAAAATGCATTGGATTTTTCAGGAATCTTTTTAGGTACAGTTTGTGTTCCAGCATTGTGATATTCTGTTCCAGTTATTTTATGTCTAAATCCACCAAGAAATGGCTTGTGAAAGTCAGATTTTATAATCTCAACAGCAACATTCTGGTACTTATTGATGCCTAAGGAGATAAAAACCAAGACTGAACCAAAGTTCAACTACAAAAGGACACTAAAATACTTTAGCTAAAAGACTAAAATAACGCACCAGTTTGTATGGTGACATTTATGACTTGAGGGGCATCACTTAATCCATCTATTCTTTTGATTGGATGTAGATCTGGATATGCAGAAAACAGTTCCACTTGTACAACTCCCTGAGGCATAACTCCATGCTGTATTAGAGTCTCATTATTTTTAAGAATTGTTCCTAAAAATGAAATTTTTAAGGTGTTTTATGACAAAGAAATGACTATTTTTTTGTTGTTGTTTTTATTTAAGAAATAAAATTGTACATATTTAGGTTGCACATGTGGTATTTTGGCATATGTGCACGTGAAGCAGCTACATCAAAATAATTAACATATACATTACCTCACATACTTCTTATGAGGAGAACAAACATACAACATACTGTTATTAACTACAGTCCCCACAATGAACCATAGTCTCTAGAAGAATACTCATTTTGAGGGGATGGGAAATATTGAAGGTGTTATAGGAACACATATTGTTAAATTACTGCATATAATATTAGTGCTTTGTACCTCTTGCTGTAAAGTTAGTACAGAAAATTCCATAGCAGAGTGGCTATAGTTCACAATAACTTACTATATATTTTATGGATAACTAGCAAAGAGCAGTTCAAAGTTTCCAAACACAAAGTAATGATAAGAAGATGGACATATTAATTACCCTGATTTGATTAGTACACATTACATACTGTGCTGAAATATCACTTTGTACCTTATAAATTTGTGCAATGATTACATATTAATCAAGTTTTCAATGTTTAAGTATATAGAATGCTAACTACCTGATTCAGTCATCATACAGTGCATTCATTTATCAAATTATCACACTGTATCCCATAAATAGGTATCACTAAAAAAACAAAAATTCCACAATAGAGTCATAGTGGCATTATACAGGTACAACTCTTGATTCTACAGAAATATAAATACATAATAATCATAAAACTATTAAAAAATAAAACCATTCTGCAGTATGAGCAGAATAATATACTAAATATTCACTCTATTTAAAACACACACACACAATGTGCAGGCAGGAAGGTATATGTAGCCTTGTGAGTTCAACACCAGCCAGGGTTAATAGTGAGACCCTGTCTCTAAAATCAAAACTAAAGTGTAAAAAACCCACAATGTATTGTATGTAACACAGGACATATGCGTATCAGGTGAAGCATGATTATTTTAATACCCATTATATTCTCCAGTGTAGAAAAGCACAGGCTCAGAATTCCAAAGCTCCTCTTTTCTCTCTCTTTCCATACTCAGAAACTCATTTAAGTAATGAATGCCAAGTGGAGGTAACTATATATCACTTTATTATTTTGTAGTATAACTTTAATTTCTACTCTCCTTTCACTGCTTCACCCACCCATTGGTATATTTAACAAATTACTTTTTTCTCTATTTTAAGAAATATGAAAAGGCAATAATGATACTGGCTACTTTATTGATGGAATATATATCAGTCTTCAAATGTATGATCTTCCTCAATTACAATTAGGAATTTGTACACAGCAAAAGCCATACTTGTTCTTAGAAATATATTAGACACAACTAATCTATTTTGACTATGCACAAGAAAGCACATCCTAAGATCTTTGAGTTTCAATTTCACAACCTAAATTCTTAAATTAGAAAAATTAACATGAATGTCATATAGGCTTTGCAATGGGTTGAATAATGGCCCCCAAATAGTTCTACATCCTAATCTGCCAGTATGAGTATAATCTTAACCTTACACAGCAAAAGTGACTGCAATTTGATTAAGGATTTTTAAATGGAGAGATCACCCTGGACTCTCTGGCTGGGCCCTACATGTAACCATATATCCCTATTAGAGGAAGAAAGGAGGAGATTTGATCCAGAGGGAAAAGTAATATGACAAAACAAGTTTGATCACGTACTTAGTGGCTTGAGGATGGGAAGAGAGTCAAGTAACCAATGAATGCTAGGAATACAATTCTAGACACTGGAAAGGCAAGGAAGTCTATTTCCCTAGAGGCTGTAAAGGGAGAACAGCCCTACTGATACTTAAGCTTCACCCCAGTAAAACTGATTTAGGATGTTGGCCTCCAGACGCTAAGAAAAATATACGTGCTGTTTTAAGTCACTAAGTTTGCAATTAATTTTACAGCATCCACAGAAAACAAATACAGGTTAACAGAGCTCTTTTCATTCCTCTATTTATTTCTAGAGTAGGCATAGTCCCAACCAAACATGAACTTCAATTGCAGTACTGGAAGAAAGCACCAGTCTTGCAAGACATTGGTGTAGAATCTGCTCTTCTGTTATTACTGCTGACATGAACACGTTACCCAGTGTTATACCTACTACTTGTAAAGAAGAAAGGTCAAGAAGTACAAAGGAGAGAGAGATCTGAAGTACCACTGGGCAGTTATCCCAGGCTAAAAGTGCTCTCTCTTCTCCAATTTTGAACTGCACCTTTGAGTTAATGTCCAACAGTTTCAAATTCCCTCTTTAGAGTCATACAGTCATTCCCTCATTGCAGACTCCAATCAGACATGTGAATTTACAGAAATTCCCAGAGTTTTAGATTCCTTCTTTCAAAAAAAAAGAGATAATAATAATTATAACAATAACACCTACCTCAGAGGATTGTTGTATGGATTAAATGATTAGATGAACAAAAATATTTTGTAGAAGTACTAACACATAGAAAAGACTCAATAAATTAACCATCATGATCATTATAATTATATTACTAATCATTATTTACATTTTTGTCTTGTTTTCCCTATCAAGCTTTAATCAGTAATTAGTACATTTATTATCATTGATTTTTTAAAAGTCATTTTGAAACTGAATTGCTTTTCTCTGGAAACTTATGTAACATCTTTATAAGTCACTTCCAAAACTTTAAAGTATTAGGATTTCTATACACACACATGTACATCTATGTTAGCCTGGCTGACTATCACAGGTGCAGAGACTTTATTTGATCATGACAAAAAGCTATATAATATCAGTGAGGCTCTTCAAAACATAAATAAACTTAATGTATAGAACACTCAAAAACCATTTTCAGTCTATGATTTTTGGTACTGGGGTTTGAACTCAGGGCCTCACACTTATTTGGGCAGTGCTCTACCACTTGAGCCACACCTAAAGCACTTTTTGTTCTGATTATTCTAGAGATAGCATCTTATTTTTCTCCGAGCTGGCCTAGACCACAATCATTCTACTTTACACTTCCTGCTCTCACAGGGATGACAGGCCTCGGGGTATTGCTTGAGATGAGGTCTTATGAATTTTTTGAGTGGACTGGCTTACAACCATGATCCTCTGCATTACAGTGCCCAGTGCTCAGCCCCCAGCACTTAGATAGGGTCTCGCACTTTTTTTTTCTTGTCTAGTCTTCATCCATGATCTAATAGCTGGAACTACAGGTGTGAGCTGCCAGTGCTGGCCAGTCTTCTTGTTCTACACATTCTCCTTCACCATCTAGTTTTTAACTCTCATCTTCTTCTAACCATTTGAAACTTCTTATAACTTCCAAAAAGTTCCAGGTTTCCCTCCTCTTTGGACTTAGCACATGTAAATATTTTTATTAACTGAAACTTTCTAGAATCTCCTCACTCTTTTTTGTACATATTTCCACTAAAGTATTTGCATACCAATGTGGTAACTATTGCATATGATTCTTCCTTACTAGTCTATAAACAACTTGAGAATAGGAATCTTGTTTCATGTTTCTTTGTATCTTTACTTTTAGCAATCTAGAACAAAATAGGTCTTCAATAAAAATATGTTAAATGAATGACTGCATAAACACAATATTATGCTGAAATGGTAAATATCAAGATATTTAGTTTAAGAAATCAAAAATCTAGATTACTTAATTGCTAAAACTAAAGAAGTCTCATTAAATTTATTAGCCTTCAAACTTACCTGCATGTATCATTTGCAGTGCATGAGATGGGATACCTAATAAGCTTGAAAAATGATCCTTGAGGTGTCTAAACATGGTATCAACTTTAAAAGAAATGATAATTTCCTGGCCCACAGGAATAAGTACAACTTTCACTGTTAATAAAAAACAGAAAAGAAATAAAATCATAGTCAAATACAAAGGTCAGCGATGTACACTCCACAAAAAGATGCAGAATTATGAGCCAACTTTTAATCATATGGAGTATACACTCCACCGCACCCCAGTGACATAGAAAGAGAACTAATCAACAGTGAGTCACAAACCCTTGTCTTGAAAGTTAATTCATATTTTCATAATTTGTTTATTAACATTTAATGTCTGGCATATATTTATTCAGATGTAAGAATAGAAACATTTCAGAAAACCAAGCATTTTTGTGTAATAAATACAGGAAAGGGCGACTTTGAGATAGAAAGGGTACCTCAGAACTCAGAAATGCACTATAAATAATTTTCAGAAAAATGGGCATGATATGACTAACTCCCCACTATTAAATACTTTTCACATTGTGTAGCTGACTCTGCTCTACAAAATAAGAAACCAAAATGTGATGTTTACATGTTAATTATAAAAACTAGCACCATCAAATGATTGTCTGTTCAAAATTATAGGAAGGAAATATAGCATTTAAAACTAATTAATATGGAGTAAATTTTTCTCTTTTACATTTATAGACCGTAAATATTAAAGAGAGCATATACTAATAAAGATGGAGTAAAGGATACATATTATAAACCAAAAATTTTTGTATATTTCTAGATGCTGGACATGACATTTTCATAAAGCCATATGAGACATTTATGATTAATCCCATGACAAATTTTAATTTTGCATTAGTAATATTAAGGTTCTTTAAGCTTGTTAAAAGTTTTTATGAGTCTATATATACAAAAGGAATAAATTCAGATGTTAGACAGTAAATCATCAATAAGCTATTTTAATTGTTTCATGGGTACAAAAAGATGTGATTAGTCTATTTAAAAACTTTCATAATACTGACTTTGTAGGTTTTGAGAAACGGGGGGTAGGCTAAGAGATTTGTGAAGTTCAGAATGTACAGGAACAAAACAACATTTTTTAAAATTACCATGTGTTCATTATAAGTTACAATATTAGGGAATTAGAAAAATATCCAAACATGGAACCCAAATTTGCATTGAATTATGAAATTGAGCAGCACTTGGTTCTGTCAGATATAATAGCTTTTCTCTCCTTCTTCCTTTCCATTCTTTATTTGTGTGGGCATACCACACACATAGTAAACTACTTGAAATGCTACAAATTAAGCTACTGTTATTATTATTGTTAAATGATTTTTAAATTTTTTTCCTTTATTGTTGTGCTAGGTGGGAGTACATTGTGTCATTTACACTGGTTCTTACCATGTACCAAATATATCATACATAAATTCACCCCCTATAGCATTCCCCTTTATGGCATATGTTCTTCACCCTATAAATGGAAACTTTCAAAACTCATGGGCAAGTACAAAAAAAAAGCAGTGAGTTAATGGTTTTCTATGTAACCACCTTAATTGCTGTCCCTCCTGACATCAAGAATTTAATTGTAACTCCTATGTGCCATCAACATTGTTCTGTGCATATCTTTAAAACTCACCAATAATGAAAGACAATAATGATTTTTTCCCAAGGATAAATATGTTTAACATTAAGCAGACTATAGAAATATGTAAAAACAATGTGACAGGTGAAATGAACACTGAATATGAAACTAGGAACTCTGGATTCAAGTTCCTATCCCACCTCTCACTAGCTATGTACAACAATTAATTCTAAATCGGCAGGTGAAAGAATTCCAATTATACTCAAGAATTTGTCCACCATTTTCCAAGGTGCCTAAATACTTTTAAAACCTACTTTATTTGAAAATATAAACAAATATGAATTTCAAATGTAACGACGTTCATTTATTGAGGAAGAATAGATATTGCAGAAGGAAAGCTCTCACACCAAGTAAAGAGATTCAAGGGGTATAACTATGGCAGTTTGGTTGATAAGAGAAAGTATCAGATATTTAAAATAAATCTTCACTATACAAACAAGAAAAAGCAACTATTCTTTGTCACAAGGAAATGAAATACCCTATCTTCTCTAGGTAATACCTGTTGCCAAACTCTCTCTTGTTGATGTTTGCAAAGACTCCTTTATAGACTTAATTTTATCCAGAAATACCAGATTGCCATCACTTGGAATGTGCTCCTCTGGCTTCCCTGCATGCTGCATTTTACCATGTTCCAGAGTCTGTAAGACTTCTTCAGCTTCTTCAGGGAACACAACTTCTTCTGTGAGTTGTTCTTCATCATTTGATTCTGATCTTGATGTGCTGCACTCACTTTGCTCAAGTGTTTCATGGCTCTCACTGAACTGATCTAGCTCAGATTCATGCTCATCGGTTATTGTATCTGACTCTTGTTCTGAAGGAGCTGGAACATTGACGGTGTTATAAGCATCATCACTTTCTTCTGATGAGTCAAACTGGTCATCTTGATCAGACATTTTCCTTAATTAAGAAAAATGAATGCATTTACTATATATACGAGAGTTTCTGCCCCAAGTATCAACTTTGTTGTTGATATAAAGTGATTTTCATAGTATACAACTGAGGCAGGATAGATAAAGAGAAAGGAAAATTATATTATTTTTAATAACTACTGAAAGGACCACACTCAGACATTGAAATGAGGAGTAAAAACTGAAAAGCCAGAGAGCTAGCCCCCCTCACATCTCCTTTTAGACGTTAAGTTACAAGAACAGGAAGACATAAAGGTACTATTTGCATCTGCCTCCCTCTGAAAAATTAAGAAGCCGCAAGTTTCCTTGAATATATTGAGGAACAACAGAAAGATGAAAGGCCAGCCTAGCAAAAGGAAGTCCTAAAATATCTGTCATCCCTGTGTTTTAGGTTGCCTAAATCCCATCTCCATGTTTTAAAATAATAAACAGCACCCATCTTGGGCGTCCAGATCCACAGTTTAGGAACTACTAGACAACATGAAAATGTGTATTCCCCAGCTCAGAAAGTACAAAGATTATAGATAAGAATCATCATTTTTAGTCTTTACTCCCATTGCCTGCCTGGGAAGCAGAAAATGTTTCTCCCTCCATGACTTCTACCTACTTTATACTTTTATACTAAAATAAATCCTTGCTAAAACTTTCACCTGTAAGACTCCTTGCTGTTAAATACCTTGAAATGTTTTCTGTGCTTGTGGATCTCAAATACCTGTGATTTTTGCCTGTAAACAAAATCTGAGGGAACCCATTCCTCTGGTAATATAATGTTGCTCGTTATTTTCTTAGATGTTGATTATCTTACGAATAACAGGCATCAAGTTAAACACATTGATGAATTTTTAATTAGAAAACACAGAAATTAAAAATAATATAAACAAGAACCTCAAAACAAGAATTATGAGAGCAATATTCTGTGAAGAATATTAGGTATAGCAGGAATGTATCTCAACACAATAAAGGCCATATATGAAAAACCCGTAGCTAAGATACTCAACACTGAAAATCGGAAAGCTTTTCCACTAGGATCAGGAGCAAGTCAAAGATGCCCACTCTTCCATCCAACACAGTCTTGGAAGTTCAGATGAAAGCAATTACACAAGAAAAAGAAATAAAAGACATCCACATAGGAAAAGGAAAGTGAAAATTTCTGCACTTGCCTAGTATGTTCAAGGCCCTAAGTATAACCACCAGCACCACAAGTAAAAAAAGAAAAAAGAAATTTGACCAAGCTTTGCCCCAGAGGAAGATATTGTGGTTATTGTAGTAGAATAGAAAAATTTGATCTCTTTTGTAGAAGAAGACACTACCTCTATCTTCCAAGGCAATTCACCATACAAAAACCCTTGCAAAGACCGTCTAGAACAAACCTGTCAGTACCTCTCAAGCAGAAATGCAAGAAACCATGAAGAATTGTCATCGAAGAAGAATGTCAGCCAGCATCTTGTGGTTATTCTCATTGTTATCCAATAAAGATATCAGTTTCAGAGGAGCAAC